TTTTTTTTTTTGTTTATGCATTAATGAGCTGACTGATATTAGTAACAAGAGGGAAATACATTATCTTTGTTTTTCTTTCTTACATGAAGTTACCTGGTCCCCACGGGGATCCAACCAAAACTTTGCCTCTGTTAATAGATCACTATGGACTTATAATTTCAAACATAAAACTTTCCTTAATTATTTTACTTTATTTCAATTTCTGTATCTGTAATGTAACTTTGGGACAATTAAGTACAGGGAGAACATAGTTAATGTATATGCTAAAATTAATAATGTAAAATCAGGGGAATAGATTTTGTATGTCATTATCCATAGTTGTCTCATTGTTTTCAATATAACTTCCATGGGTCTGAGGAGCACATTGACAAAACAGATAATTTCTAGGTTGTCTGAAAAATGAGGAATTCTAGTGATTGACGGGTGGATGGGGTTCTCATGCCATCTCTTTTATAACTGAAGATTTGGTAATTTGACACTTTTCAGGAAAATCCATTTATCAGATGCCAGTATAGATCAGATAATGGATAAAGAGGCTTTATACCAAAAAACTAGGCATATATGTAAATTGCTATTTTCCCCCCAAGCTCACTCCTTTCCCTTGAAGTTCTGCCTTATCTATCATCTTATCTATTATCTGTCTACCTATTTATTAATCTACCAGCTTATTAACATGCATCTATACCTTTTCCCTCCTCTTTCTTTTACTTTGTATCTGTAAGCAACTTGTGGTTTGCTGAGCTACTACTATTTTGGACTGTGCAAAGAGGAAAGAAAGATGAGTTAATGGTTCAAATGTTTGTACAGATATAATTCAGTGAAGAAATCACAGAAAAGATGTAGAACAAAGAAGAAGTGGAAATTGTAATGGAAAAAGAAGAGGCATTAGGATAGAGAATTTAGATTTTTATATTTGTCAATATTTCAATATATTCTCATAAGCATCTGATTGTTTTGTTTTGATATTGTGTTGTTATGTTAAAAGCAGCTGATATATTTGTGGGTGTGTTATGTATATTATTCTATATATTATACACACAATTTAATTCTTCTGTTTGATCACAAGCTGGTAAGTTTATTTAAAAGATTTATCTAAAGAGCTCACAAAATTGATAACTATAGATATGTTTTCCTGTGTGATTCATTAGGCCATAAAGGCAATTTCTTACTGCTCTGATAACATTAAGAAAAAAAATGAAAGAAAAAGAAAAAATATGTCTTTGAAACATTTGATCTTCTTTAAAATGATTTCTTTGAAATTTAAAATTTCAATTGGAAGGTTTTTATATTCTTAACATTGAGGTGTAAAAATAGTAAATATTAAGTTTTGAGTATTACTTCATGTTTCTGTTATTATAATTTCTGTTACTTAAGGACCAGGAATGGAAAATAAATCAACCGTATCTTTTGCTAAAAGTGAACAATAACATTATTTCTTACTTTTAGTGTAATAGAAGGAGAATAGTATTTCTTTAAACCACCCATTTTTCTACTTGCAGTTTGGATATATCACTTTTTTTCCACCTAGAAAAATAATTACTTTACGGAAAACAGGTAACAATATTTCATTAGTCTAAAATACAGGAGCTCTGATGGCGTAGTGCCTAAGGCATTTGACTGCTAACCAGAAGGCTGAGGTTCAAACCCACCAGCCACTTCTCAGAAAGAAGATTAGGCAATCTACTTCCATAGAGATACCACTTCCGAAACCCAAGGAGGGGTCTCTATGAGTAGAATCTACTCGATGGCAATGAGGTTTATTTTATTTTATTTTTGATTTAATATAAAGTAATGCTATGCAGCAAATACGATGTTATGATGTGGTGGATAGAGTTGGGTCAATCATCAGTTTTGAATCTAAAAATTGCTTATTTTATTTTTCAAAAGTAGGTAATTGTGTAACGCAGTTCATTATTGGAGATATATTCTATTTGTAGTCTTTTGAATCAAATATTTATATAGTGGAATTTCAAAAATAATCTGTATGTTTTTATAAATTCATGATACATTTTTAATCCCCAGAGTAACTAATGTGAAAGGAATTAATTCATTCCTACTATATTCATATAAACCATTTTTTTTTCTTCTTCCTTTCATTTAAATAGAACAGTTTTAATGGACAAAATGGGGAATAAAAATTGCAGCACCATCACTGAGCTTGTACTTGTTGGATTTTCCAATCATCCCCAAGCTGAGATTCCCCTCTTCTTCCTCTTCTCTCTGATATACTTGGTGAATATTTTTGCAAACACAGCTGTCATCACCTTAGTGGTTCTTGATTCTCCTCTCCAGACACCTATGTATTTTTTCCTTTGTCACTTGGCCTTCCTCAATTTATATTTTACCACAATTGTGGTCCCAAAAATGTTATTTAACTTTGTTGCAGCCAAGAAAGTCATATCTTACAACTTCTGCCTTGCCCAGACATATATCACTTTATTCTTGGAGGCAACTGAATGCTTTCTGCTTGCAGTGATGGCTTTGGATCGCTATGTGGCTATTTGTTACCCACTGAGATACCTGATCATCATGAACTGGTCTCTGTGCGTGATACTATCACTGGGGGCCTGGACTATTGGTTTCTTTGCCTCGGTAGTGCCTCTCTACTTACTAATTCTCCCACTCAGTGGTACATATGTTGTGAACTATATTTTCTGTGAATTGCCAGTCCTTCTTCACATATTTTGTGGTGATACATCCCTCCATGAGACCATGATGGTGTTAGGAGGGGCTGGAACTGTGTTATTCCCTTTCTTTCTAATTATGCTCTCCTATCTCCGCATCTTGTTGGCTGTGATAAGAATTGGCTCAGCTGAGGGCAGGAATAAAGCCTTTTCTACATGTATTTCTCACCTGACTGTGGTGATCCTATATTATGGGACAGGATTGGTTAGGTACTTGAGACCCAAGTCCCTTTATTCTTCAGAAGGAGATAAACTGATTTCCTTGTTCTATGTGGTATTCAATCCTATGATAAATCCTTTTATTTATAGCCTGAGGAACAAGGAAGTAAAGGAGGCCATGGCAAGAGTAATGAGGAGATATAAAAAAGCCAACAAAGCAAAGACTAGAATATTTAGAAATTAAAGACAACATTTCAAAACTTTTGTTTATATCCATGTCACATGAGACTAAACTCCTTCATGAGAAATTAATATTCAGTAGACTTGCATGTGAAGATGCTCATCACATTTTTATAAATGTATCCGAGAGTTTCTATTTCAAGTGTTCTCTATCCATAAGTGAATATTTAGACAGATTAAAGTATTAAAATACTACCATCAAATGCTTTTGTCTATCATATATGTTGATAATTCAGCCATGTACTTCCTTGTCAATATCATTGTCATGTCCTGCAGTCATTTCCTTTAGAGTATTTTATTATCTACTTTTTTTTTTTTCCATTATTCCTTAAGCATTTGAATTTGGATGAAGAACTAGTAACTAATTCACTAATCATTTGCAACTTCTGGGTGTTATTAAGCTGATGACGTGAGCCAATGCTTTCAGCTGGGATAAAAAATGTAGAGGGCATTGTGTATTCTGAATTATTTTTATCATTAAATCTCATAGGAGTAATATATCTTCAAAGTTAGTAATGATAATTCATTAAGTTTGTCAAACCCAGTCCTCAAGACATGCAATTTATTTTTTGCCATTATAGTGAATGGTTTTAGTCACATTACTAAAGCCAAACTCAACTCATTGCGTGACCATGCAAGGACACTAGAACACTCCCATAGGGTTCCCAAGGCTATAAATTCTTTCTTTCTTTCTTTCTTTTTTTTTTTTTTTATTGTGATTTGGGTGAAGATTTACAGAGCAAATTCACTTTCCATACAGCAGTTCACATATACTTTGTCTCATGTCATTGACCACAGTTTACCACAATGCAACAGCTCCCCTCCCACTTCCTTGCTGTTACCAGCACAACAAATGGTCACTTTACAGAGACAGTAAGAGAATCAGAAGAGATAGAAAGAGAGGAGGATTAGCTAAGGTGTCTCCGTATAATCCCCGGAGCGGAGGGGCAAAGCCACACCGTTATGCCATATGCCTCAAGTGGGAATGGAAGGAACACATCAAGCCTTTTGCTGGAATGTGTCAACTTTATTATAATTACACTCAAACTTATATACAGGTTTAACATGGGAAAAGTGCATGATTCATATGTCATACAATCAATCACAAGTTAATCAATATTAGGAAAAGTACATGCATACACATTTGGCATATTAAAATTTAAACTAACATTCCTGTTCCCATAATTCAAGTCACCACAACTCAGGTCACCTTAACTTCTTAAATTCTATACTCATTCTTCTATGTAACTATGTTCCCTAGAAACCTATGTTCCCTAGCAACTAGTTTAGATTGGCTTCCGCATATTCTGGGTTCAATCAAAGGTTCACAGAACAATATAAGGGAGAAAATGGCTGATGGTGTACTAAGAAATTGGCTACAAAATTTAATCACATAAATTTATGTCAAATCTTGCTAAATCATGCTGATTAAATAAATTCCCTATTTCTTCTGTGAGTGATATGAGAACCATGGAGATCTGAATGGTTAGCTCAACCTAAGGACAAACTCATTTGTCAACTTGAAGGGAGCCACATTCGTCCCCAACAAGACTCAACATGCAGATGCTATGTGCATCAATGTACTATGGACTCAACATGCAGACACTGTGCATCAATGTAGATTTATATACAGATGCTGTGTATCAATGCTTTTGGAGTCTTATATTGTACAGACGCAATGCATCAATGCTTGGAGTCTATGTTCCTCTAAGTCTTTTCAGACTGAGAAACATTCTGGCTCTCAACACTTCCTCCCTATTGGTACCTCTTCCCAGTGTCCATCCCTCCATCCTCTCCTGCCCCCTGAGCTGTCTCCCTGTGCATAAGCAGCCCTTCCTTCTCCCATTTTTGTTCTCTCCAAGGCGTGTGTCTGCTTGAGGTAAATGTTTAACTCACATCCAAGGCTATAAATTCTTACAAAAGCAGACTACCACATCTTTCTTCTGTGGAGTGACTAGTGGGTTCCAATTGTTAACCTTTTGGTTAGCATTTGAGTGCTCAATGACTGTATCAACAGGGCACAGGATTTTTATTTAAAATATAAAGAAACTGTTCTGAATTATTAAACTTTAGATTCATTTGGAAGGCAAATTAGTGGATTATATATTAAATTTTTTATTTAATTAATTCTGTATGTAATTAAGTATATTGGCTAATATATATTTGCAGCTATGGTTTATCAAGGAACCATATAGAGATGAGTTTTATAATCCTTAATCTGAAGGCAAACTACACAATTAATTCTGAGTTTAATCATTTAGTAGGTGTATATTCTTCTTTTTTTTTTTTTATTAAGATTTGGGTGAAGATTTACAGAGTAAATTCACTTTTCATACAGCAGTTCACTTATACTTTGTCTCATGTCATTGACCAAAATTTACAATGCAGCA